GGTTGACCCCACCGAAAAGTGATCCGCACCTTGTCCAGTCATCATATACTTACCGTAGCTTCCACGAAATGACCTTTTCGCATAAATTGACCCAACTCGCCCGATAGATTTTGAACGCGTACATGACTTCCTGAGACGCGCACACAAGGAAAACGCCATTGTGGTGTTGCAGATTTTAATCGGTCATTCTAAATCAACAAAAAACCTTTAAGAAGTCTTCCAGAGTATTTATCAATCTCCTGTACTTCCTGTCATTCCTGTTCAGGAACCTACTGTGCAGAACAGCACGCCACTAGCGCGAGTGGGCGCTTATCATAAAGCCTGCTGGCGTAAACCTTTCATATCGCAAACACATGAAACCCCAGTTTTTTATGGTATTTTTTCTTTCCTTTCGATCCTTGGGCGCAATTTTTGCATACATATGCACACTCTGTGATCACGTCAGCAACTATGGAGATAGACGGATTAAGGTACTTTCCTTATAGAGTGCTGGAAGCGGCCAATTTCTCTTGAATTCAGTAATTTGTTGATTATTTTGTATTGTAGGACAATTCATAGCAGTGAAATAAGTTAGAAATGCAGAAATGTATCAATGAGAACATTACATATTAAATGCTATAAAATGGAAGGTTGGAATGAACCACATCAATTATCATTTCCGTCACAATTATACTGTCCTCAATTATCTCACCTAGGACACTGCGTTCATTTCATTTATTACATGGGGAAGATCCCATGTCAGACATAATAGGGGTCCGATCTGGCAAGTTTGGCCATGTTGGGCACGGCAGGCCCGATCTCAACAGATCGGGATCGCTGGCCGTTCAAGCGCTTACTAACCTCATAGAAATCACGGGTGACGCTCTCGCCTTTCTGGGCCGTGTATAACCATGGAACGCGGCCGAACAGCGAGCGGAGATTGATACCCCCCCCCCCCCTTTCCAGAAAAAGAAGCTTAACCTCAGCGATAAAGGCGCGCGCTCGTTTGAAGTCAACGACGCGACATCACTGAGATTTGTTCAAATCGCGATGGTTTTGACGAGGGAAGTATGCCCTAAGAAGAGCCGGTTAGCGATTAGTCGCGTCGGAAAACTATCACAATCGAAATGCAAGGATTGACATGCAATGAACTCGTGACAGTTGTTTTGTTGGACGAATCGCGAGGCGATGAAATCGCGTGATGTGTGCCAAGCCCTCAAGGGATTATCGGGATCGGTCATACCCCGTCGCCGCGCTTTTCCAATCGCTGCGATTGTTCATAATCTTCCGTAGGCGCCTACTTTGTAAGCAAAGTTTGACATGTACGCATAAGCTTACAAAAGCTATGCGCCTACGCACTTGAATTCCACACGCGCTAGATTCGCAACATCTGGCAAATTGCCAGATCGCGTATCGCCGCGATTTTGGAGAAATCGCGCGATAAGGTGAGTCATGGACTAGATAGGAGCTCACAGTTGAGCATTTCCTATGTACTGGAGAAACCATCACAAACGAGCAAAGTATTCGAAGTAGGTTATTCTCATGAAAGAGTGATGTCTGGTAAGTGGCAGACAGCAGACAACCGTGCGCTGCAAATGTTGACTTTTGAACAACCGAACTTGTTTATGTCTGCGTTGCAGCAGCAGACAGTGGGAAATTCCGTCGCCGGTAACTTTGTTGCAAATAATGCAGCACTGATCAGAGCTGTCAGCTGTCTAAGAATTAACATGTGATAGAAAAAAGTCAATGGCAAGTTTCTGCCAAATACCAGCCAAAAGCGGCCAACAGATAGTTCTTCATTATGACAGATGTGGAAGGACAGTACTGGAATCCAAATTACTACAGGACCTATGCAGTTTTGCTGTAGATTTCCGCTGTGAAAGATTTTTAGGGCATTCGAAAAGTGACGATGGCGCGACCGCGCGGCACACACGCATCTCACGACGATTAGTAAGGTAACTTTACCAACAAAGTTGGTTGGCAGTGTGGGGTTATAGCCATTTCTTGGCATAAGCGGGGTAATTGCTTTCGCTCAAATGTTTTCGTCATTGCAATGGCACTTGAAATGTCGATTGAGGAATACTGACAAGTAAGGATTTAGGATTTTTGCATTCGAGTGTTCAGGATCACTCAAGTGTAGTGTCGGATGCACCAGCTCAGTCTGCGCGCAGTCACCTCGCTGGACCCTCACCACATGTCGCCTGATCATTTTTTCAAATCTGAGCGTGTGAAAAGACTCAGAGTGGACTTCAGCCGATACTTATTCGAGGGAAAATGGTCAGAAAACAAGTTCGCGAGCGCGCTGCAAGCTTAAGCGAAGCAGTCGCGCAGGACTCAACCGCTGGTGCACCCGACACTACGATTGAGATAGCTTGTATTTTTCGCATAAATCAAGCATGAGAATGTGGTTATCAGCTACAATCGGTCAGCGTATCTTGTATTAAAATAGATATATTTCTTCTTTAGTAGTAAAGTCTTGAAAGACTCGTTGCAAACCGAGTTCCAGATGTCGTGTAGGACTCAAATACTCAGCGGAATCTCTCAAATTGCGATCATTGTCTGATTTTCTACACTATCACTCATCGCCGTCGCCGCTGATGTCAGCGATTTGGTCAACGGTCCTGGTCTGCACCGTGCACCACTTCTCCGCATCGATTTTCCAGCGGACTCCAGTACAAGAACTACGCCAGCCGCAATTCATCAAAGTCTATTTTTTCGCAGATTTCTGCACAGTTGTAATGTGTTTTCTCCTTTTTCTCATTTTTAGCACATTTTGAAGTGTTCCGTTACGTGATTTACATTTTTTTTTCTGAGAGAGGAGTCAACTCTCCGCTCCAATTTCGTCCCAGCTTTTCTCTTGTTTATCTGTGCCTAGGCATAAGTGGCTTATAAGCAAGGTAAGTATAGTATTTGGGATAAAAAGCAAGGTGGCATCGTTTTTGTGGGTTCGAAATTAGGTTTTTCTAATCGACGTTTGGTTTTTTGGCCGTTTCGGGTATTTGGAGTAAGAGTCAAAGGGGACTTCGTAAAATTTTACGAAAGTCAAGTCAAAGCCAAGTACTTCGTTTTTTGCATTTTTGGAAACCCACCTCGTGCCGAGCCCTGCTCTCTATTCACTTGCTGCGATAAAGTCTTTTGAATTTTCCTACAAAAACTGCAGCAATTGCACATTCTTATTGAATGGAAATACATGGTGTTTATAGAGTTTCTGGCCTTAAACTTCCAATTCAAAATTGAAAGCCTTTTTCGTTTCATTGTGCTCATTAAAACTAGAAACCATCAATCCAGCAAAAACCGTTTCTCTGTGGTCTCTTTGATTCGTTATCCGGTTGGAACACTATCAAAATAGCTTTCACGTCTCTTTCTTTGTTACAAAGTGGAAAACTTTTTTTTGTATAACATGTAGAAGCGCTTTTTTCTAGTTTCTCAAAGGTCCTTTCGTGAAATTGAGTTCGGTTTGAAATAATGTGCCCCCGCTTTTTTCTAGTTTCTCATAGGTCCTTTCGTGAAATTGAGTTCGGTTTGAAATAATGTGCCTCAAATACAAGAGATCTTGCTCTAGAATCAATTTCTCAAAACTGTTTCAAAGTTATAATAAATCCATTTTCAAAGGCATTACAAATTGCAAAATATATGAAAATGAGCATGACAAGTGGAGAGTTGTGTTACAAATGCACATTAAAACAAGGCTTCCAAAAATTTGAAAAAAATTTCAATGTAGACTTGCAGGGCAGTTAGCTGTGCTTTATCGACTTAAAAAACTTTTTACTCGCAGACTATCGCATACTTTTTTTAAATGTAGATATGGGATTTTCTGGAAGAGGAGAGAAAGTTGTTTGAAAAATTAGAAAATTGAGTAACGCACTTCCACCTCTTCAAAGAAACCAAGATATTTTTCTTTCTTTTTTCTTTGTTGATGTAGTGATCTTTAGGTACAGCGAACAGTTTAGCAATTAGTTAGAATTCGCAATCGCTTGAGGCCAGAAACTTCCCGAACAGCCTGTACTTATCAAATTTGCTTTCTTAATCTGCTCCGAAATTTTTTTCTCTGTGCAAATAAGCATGCCGATAACGCGACAAGGTCATGGTCATTAGCGGACGCGTAGAGAATCTTTGTTCACCCACTTGAACTTTGGGCTGTAACCGACGTTTCCACGGCAATGCTGAGATGTCAATTTTTTCATTATTCGTTTATAGCTTCACTGCATAATTCCCACTGTTGAGTAGAATGTGCATGAAGTATCTCAATTGTAAGAAATTTGGTTTCCTAAGAAGGTTGTATATTATCGACTCTGACTGTAATTAAGCAAAACCAGTAAATAAGTGAATAAATACTTTTGTCTAGATTCTTCCTTTTGAAAGAAATGAATGTAACAAGCATGGAAAAATTTAGCGCATGAAGAAATTTGGCTTTATGTCCAAATCAATGTGCAAAAAGCATAAATCGCATTTTTATATAGACAACTTTACTTGAACCACTTAGTTGTTCTGCAGTACGTACACCTAGCATTGATTATCTCCTTTAACGCATAATCTTGTTTTTGGGGTTTGGTTTTCGTTTTGAAAAGTATTTCTTTTCACTAAAGATGTCAGGTTCCAGTTTCATTGCAGCTTTGACAACAAACTACCTATTACATGAACTCGTGTTAGCTTCAACTCTCGGTTGAAATTGAATTTCTCGATTCCTATCCTACTCAGAAAATTTTTCACTAATTTTATCGGTAATTTGTAGTTGCACTTGTAGTAAGTGTTGGAGGAAGTCAGTTGATAAGCATCTCTAATCATTACAAAAAAGTCTCTAACTTGCTTTGGGAAAAGATCGCTAGACCTACGCAGAAGGATTTGTTGCATATTTTTGAACATTTTTGTGGCCAATTGCGCTTATCTTCCCGTCTTTGTTGGTAAACACAAATTGTATTCTGCATACATCTTAGGATCACAAACAAAGGCACAGTTTCTGATCATTCTCTTTTTCTCATACTTCAATTATGTCAAGCAAGCCATCGTAAAAAATATTATAGAAATGGTAGTACCAACTATAAAACTATCGTCCGGATATGAAATGCCTATGGTAGGCCTTGGAACATGGCAGAGCAAACCAGGAGAGGTGTGTATCAAAATCTTACTTAAAGGCACCGTCCACCCAAATTGGGGTTGGTGAGATGATGATACCTAGCAGGTGCAGGGCCCCCAACTGTATGATTGCCCAACTCGCGCTGCCTGAAGTTGCTTCTGAACCGAGAAAATTGCTTCGGAAATCGCTTCAGGCCGCGTTCGCGACGCTGGCTCCTCCCCTTTCGGAGTGGGCGTGACGTTCGTTCCGCCCATCCGTGCGCCTCCAACCAATCACCGTACCGAAGAAATCGCTCTGTGGGTTCTGAAAACGGGGATTTTTCGTGGTTTTCGCGGATTTTTAACTTAATATTCGGAATCAGGGGTATGAGAAGGCCCTGGAACGGCAAAAACATGGAAGTCGAAATTTTCGGGTGGACGGTGCCTTTAAAGCATAAAAGTAATCATTTCTTCGCCAATACAGCGTAGATGGGAAGAAAGTTGACCACTTTTCCAAAATTTGTTTGAGGTTGGAAAGGCTGTGGAAACGGCATTGAATGTTGGCTATACTCACATCGACTGTGCTTGGATTTACGGTAACCAAAAAGAGATCGGCGAAACTCTGAAGCGACTCTGTTCGTCAGGAAATAATGTAAACAACTTTTTTTCATGGATAAACCAACACTGATGAAATTTTTCCAGAGAGCAGACATTTTCATTACCTCAAAAGTGTGGAACACATTCCATTCGGAAGCTGCTTGTAAGGTGAGATCGATCATTATCTCCTTAGTGGGAAATGAAAAAGTAAAAATGTTTGTATGCTTCCATAAATGGTTTTTTTTAAATCTATTTTTCATGTCCTTGTTGACTCTTTAATCTTGTTTGAAGCTCGATGTTAGTATACCAAAAATTTTTAACTCTATTTTTCTTGTTTATTCCCTTGAACTTTTGATTTTTAGAAACATGTACTCGATATTTTGTGCCAATTGGGATTGGATTACATTGATCTCATGCTGATCCATTGGCCAATGGGCTATGCAGAAGGTGGAGAACCATTTCCGAAAGTCGGTAGTTCTCTAGTATCTGTTTTTTTTTGAATATTGCGTTTCTGATCCTTCTCAAACTTGCGCTTTTTCAGAAAGAAGGTACTGACCAGACTGCTCATTCTAACGAAGATTATCTAACCACATGGAAAGTTTTGGAAGATTTCGTCAAGGAGGGCAAGGTAGAAAATAATATTGTTTATAAGTAATTTTCAAAACTCTGTTTAGATTCGTTCAATAGGCGTATCTAATTTCAATCATAAACAAATTGAGCGAGTCATAGCCAATTCGACAATAAAACCAGCCGTCCTCCAAGTAAGACAAGATTTTTATGAAACAGAAATTACATAATAATTCTTCTTCTAGGTAGAATTGCATCCATACTTTCAACAAAAGAAATTACGTGCTTTTTGTAAAGAACATGGGATAGCAGTGACCGCTTACAGGTTATTTTACACGTTTACACTTTGTGTCAATCACGTAGTCCCTTTTGCGTCAGAACTATGCATCCGCAACGCGGGGGCTTGCGTGCGGACTTTCAGTCAAAAAAATTTTAATGTTAAAGGCTTACGCACGCGAACATAGTGCGAAGCGATGTTTGCACGGCGATCGAGCGGCTGATAAGGGACTACAGGATTGACACAGGCTATATAATTCTTGCAAAGATGAATGACTTCGATTAAATCTTGCCAATTTCTCCATTTCCAATATTCTTCTGAGCAAAGGCCCATTTCAATCATTTCAGCTCACTCGGTAATCCTGGATCAGCTTTCTTCCGCAAAGATGGCGATCCAAATGTACTGACCGACCCTGTAGTGAAAAAAATTGCCGACGCGCATGGCAAAGTAGGTCCATTTTTATCTTATGGCTTTGCAATTTTTTTATTTGACTACGTTTTCTAAAAAAATTTTTAGACATCCGCACAAGTTGCACTCCGATGGGCAACACAACTGGATATCATTGTCATCCCAAAGTCCGTTTCAGAATGTGAGTTTTTGAGGAAAAAATAAACTTTTTCGCAAAGAAGAACTCATAAACTGAAATTAAGTGTTGTCTTTTCAGCCCGTATTAAGGAAAATATAAACCTTTTCGACTTTAAACTCTCAGATGAAGAAATGAAGGAGATGGAAGGCCTCGACCGTGGATGGCGAATTGTAAATCTCAGCGCAAGTAATCGCGAACATCCTCATAATCCTTATAACGAAGAGTATTAGAATGGCATACCTCCACGTTGATTTCACTTATTGTTGCGATTTGGCCAAGTATTGCACGCATTTTGTTACTTCTTTGAATAAAATTACCTTAAATTTTGACTCTGGTACATGTATGTCGCTCTAGATATTCAAATAAGATGAATAATGACAAATATGTCCATTCTGCAGGCTCCAAATTTGGATTTATGACACAAGAGTCAAGCTAAACAAATACGGGGAATATCATGTGGTATGAAATTAATGAATGTGTACAGACTTTCCGATAAAGGAAACATCCAGAAGCATTTCCCTTGTAAGACCAAGCTTCACATAAACAGAGTAATAGGGGGAAAGTGTCAGGTTGAGGAAAACACATTTTTGGAAATTACACTTTGTAATCGACGAAAATGCGCTATCTAATTTTTTCATTGGATCAACATTCACACAAGTCCAAATCGATCGATGCAAAAATTCAACAAAATAAATGCTATAACGTTTTAGTGTTAACTTATGTCACCCATTCTATCTTTGTAAAGTACATACCTACAACATGATGTCGTTTGAGAACAGATCTTGTTTAGTGCGAAATGTTCAAGTCTGTAGGTACCAAAGCAATTTTTGTTATCGTTGTCCTAGTTAACTTAGTGAAGCATTTGCAAGTCCACTAAAAGGACGACAAAGTTTTTATTTGATTCGGGAAAGATGTAATAAAAGTTTGCTATTGACCACTCATGGAGGAGGAGGGCTAGGCAGTGCAATCATGATTGTCTGACTATGTGGGGCATCGAGCTTGTTGGTTGATACTTCGGTCGGGTTATCGCTCCTTGTTTCCCGCTGATCTGGTCGATCTGCTGGTTTCGGATGGCCGGTGTGCTGGCTTGCAGTGGGGTCGGTCCCTGGTCATTCCGTTCGTGGCCACGCTTCCTAGCCACTGCGCCACTCCGCCCCCAAACCCCATTATAAAATGATGGCTATGTTCCACACGTTTGTAGACAACTTTCCATAGTTTCGCTTTCAGTTTTGAGGATTGAACACTGCTTAAAACTGGACGGACCTTGCTGTATCCATGTTTGAAATTGAGCGGAAAAGAAATAAGAAACTTGAAGTCAAAAAGTCATATTGTTTCCAGATACATATATCTAACTATAATTTTCAAAATTACGTTTTGATGGAAACGAACATTTTTTACTAGTGATGCTGGACGAGAACCTCTCCAATGGTATCCTAAAATATATCTAATTCCCCGTGTTGATAAAATGAATACCACATGCCTGTCAACTTCTTGTCAAACTTTCTAGGTATTAGGACGTTTGCACCGCTTTAGATTTGAGAACTAGATTTAGATATCAAAAGATTACTGCATTACCGTTTCCGACGAAGTGCCACTGTTTTAACCTTTTGAAATTCAATTTTCACGACATTATTTAGCAAGGAAAGCGTTGTTATCAGATTTTGTGCCATATGACAACGGTTACGTTCACCTATCGACTCTTTCAAAAATGAGTTATGACTAGTTTCCGTAGTGCAAGGATCCCTGCTATGATCACCATCGGGTTCGATTGACGTTGAGTAATTGAGTTAGTATTGTAACTATTTAGATTTATCAGCTTCGGCGTTTGCTTAGAAGCAATAAAGAGGAGAAAATCGTGTTAAGTTTGCAATGTCCATCTTGGAGGTCCCAGATCGTTGTTCAAAAAGAATCTCCCCGAGAGGCCCAAACTATGTGATCGCTCAATATGGGAGTATCAATAAGTGATAGTGAGCGAATCACAGATAAATAAGAGAATTGGATCTCAAACGGATTGTAGCACCATGACTATGAAGTCAGAAAGTTCTGTTCTTCCTCTGAGCTCTAAATTATTTTCTTGACTGAAAGCTCGTCTTGGAGAAACCCAAAAAGGGATGAATTTGAGAGAAATCTTACTGTATGTATTGATATGCTTATGATAACCGCAACCATTCCTTTTCTTTCGGAGAATACTCATTGTGAAAATTGTAATATTCCCAATGCTATTTTCATGATGTTACACCATGCCTAAACTGGACGGGTCTGTATTTATTGCCTCTATCTTTCATATGTCGTCTCCTTTGGATTTCCTTCCTACAAAATTGCCTACCTTCAAATATGGTGGAACCGAATTACGTTTTCTTAATCTATATTTTACTAAGTTCCACGAATGTCTAGAAGAAGCAAAAACGAGGAGTTCTGGTCGCAGATTTAGCTTTCAGGGGTAAAAGCTTCATCTACTGTCGGATCCATAGAAATAACGTCAAAATAATAAGCAGCAAATAATAGCAAATTGCCAGGCATAAAAACATAAAAACTATGATTGGATGCCCAAATTTCAAATAATATTCAGAGGTTATTCCTATTGATTTTCAATTTCATTCGCTTTAACTTCGATTCAATTGTATACCAAATTGACGTAAATAACGCGACTTTTAAAAGCAAAAAAATTCAAAACGAGAAAGAAAAACTCGGATTCGGTTACAAAATCAAAAAATATCCTAAATGTCCGCTAGAACGCAATGTAGAAAACGTTTGTTTCAAATGCAAAACACTAGGGGGCACCCGGATTTGAACCGGGGACCTCTTGATCTGCAGTCAAATGCTCTACCACTGAGCTATACCCCCATGTTCGCGTTCTTCGCCGAATCGTAGATGTTGCCTGGTTTGCTATCTCGTCCATAACTATTATACTTCACAGAACGGTTGATTTAATCTTTTCACTTCTTCGACTTACTTCTGCTCAAAGTTGATAAAAACGCTTGCAAAAAAAGTAAAAGGTTGCAGATTTGAGTAAAGGCTATTTTCGCCATATGACAGAATGTGTTGTATTTTGCTCTAATGAAAAGCGCTTATCTTATATGCTATTTCTCTTTTTCTACAGATAATCAACTTCTTTTACTATTTTAAACCTATCGTACCTGTTAATCCAAGCACTTGTCCTTTAATCATATTTGTCATTTTGATAATATACTCCTTGATTATTCATTAGCATCGAAAAAAATTTTGAACACAATTTAATGCGTTCATGAAGCGTGATTTAGGAACTCAAATTATCAACCTTAACCATGTCATAAACAGTTCCTCACTTCAAAACGCAGAAGTGGACCAAATAGGTTACTAAATATACGAAACGAAGACGTTAAAAACCACACCAGTTGTCCCTTTAATAAATTAGAATGTAGAACAAAAGGACCAAACCACTAAACAAATTTTTCAATCAAAAATTTCAGTAACTTTACCCAATGTTAATTAGATTAAATTCCTTGAAAAAATAATCTGACAATCTAAATAATAAACTCTTAAAAAAGCTTCGGAAACTCGTGTTGACATAAGTATAAAAAAGTCCTTTTCACATTCTATTCGTTGAGAAAATAGGAGGATGGCAACTACGTTAGATGCCATATTAAGCAAGCCCAATCGTCTGCATTACTTTTAGAAAACCAAAACCTCACGCATTCTTAGCCCTAATGTATCTTAAAAAGCGATATACAAGGTGTCCCAAAAAAATGTTAACACTGTTTGATCGTTGATAACTTCGTTGCTCTCATGCCTTTCGCCGAGCTTTAGGCACCATTCTGTAGGGCGAGGTTCAACTTAAATTTGTAGTATGGAGCGAATCACCGATCGCCCTTCGTCACTGTAGGATCACGGTAAGAACTTCCAGAATATGGAACCATTGTGAAGCATTCCATCTGGCAAAATTTTCTTCAAAAAATCTGAAAAATTGTGTACAATGGTTTTCGCGCATGCTGATTCTACTACACAGCTTTCTACAAGTGTTTTTAGCTTTTTTGACGGTGTAATCACATTTCTGACAAATGCTGGAAATTCAATTATTACGGTTTACCTCGGAAAACTTAGGAAAGAAGCATCACAGTAAAGTGGAAATTTCATATTCGAAATCAGCGGCTTCCATTACCATAGTATAAGAGTTTCTGGCTTGTTTGGTTTTGTTACGAGGCAGAATATCGCCCCCAATGGCCTGAAATCCATGTCAAAATTCCTACCGTAATCCTACAGTAATGAAGAGAGATCTGTGGTTCGCTCTATACTACAAATCTAAGTTGAACCTCGCCCTACTGAACGCTGCCTAAAGCCCGGCGAAAGACATGAGAGCAACGAAGTTATTAACGATCAAACAGTGTTAACATTCTTTTGGGACACCTTGTATTTCAAGAAAACCAAAGAGCCAAATTATTATACCCTATGCCCTAAGTCAACATCACTCTGATGCAAACATTGCACATGGTTGTGTAGACAGCACACAAAATATCTTTATAGTATTTATTTTCAACGTAATAAAAATTTATTTCAAGTAGAGAAAAGTTTGGCATATTGAGACATATGGGAGACGGCATCACTTGGTGGAGGAGGAGGATAAAACAAGGATGAGGAGGAGGGAGGACATGGAAGAGGAAGGATTTTGAAGCAAACGACAGACTTTCCTGAGATGTTCTGCCTCACGTCCTTCGACGTGCTCGAAACACATAGCAGCAATTTCGAATTTATTGTACATTAAAGGTGGGGGGGGGGGGGGGGTGAGACTAGATTTTTTTCTTGAGAGACACCGATTTTTGTAAAACATTGGTGAACCCGTAATGAACATTGATGGTGACATCGGTATGCGAATGAAATCCCTAACATTGAAGGTGGCGTGGAGATCGGCAAGGGTAATGGCGGTTGTTGTGAAGTTGCGTAGCTTACGCTTCTGACAACGACGAAACTCACAAATAACCGCCTTACAAAAACAGGGATTGCAGAATTGCGGTTGCTGAGGAGTTTTTCGAATTTTTCGGTTTTTTTTAACCACAAATCCTCCAAAATGCTAAAAATTGCTAAATTCCACATCAACCGCCAAGCTACAGGTGCACGCTCAGAAACGATATGGAAGGCCAAACATGAATCAAGGAAAGATACCATACGGGGCAGTACAAACCCTTGCAAATTCAAGCAGCTATGGGTGGAATTGCTATAGGGACATGTCAATCTTCGAATTATTGGAAATTTGTTCCAATAATTCATTCTCGGCACTACGTGATGGCTATATATGTTCTCTATAAAACTTCTGTAAAATACAAGTGTGAGGGATGAGAATAGTTTTATTGATGGCACATTGTGTTGGGCAAGGAACGCTGAGAAGTGAGCAGGTCCTGAAAATCGTTATTTAAATGATGTGCAAATAGGGTTTTTTGTAAGTGTTTTTTATCTTAAGAATTAAAGCAATGAACAATTTGCTTATTCTGCAGTTTTGGCTTCGGATAATCTTATAACACTGGCAAAAATGTAGCAGAAAAAGATTCTCGATATACAATTTTCCATCTCTTCGTCAAATTTCTCAATTAGAGAATCCAGTTTTTCATTTTTAATCAAAATAAAGCAATGACAAACTCCGTCTATTTTTTCAAGGCTATCAAACAATGTGGTCCAAAAATTCAGCTTACTCTTGCTGAGACCCTAAGACTGTACTTTTTCAAACCGGCCGATTAGTGTCCTCGATCAGAGTACGGTCTGGGAAAGAGTAGTGAGCTGGTTTTTCGGCTACGAATGAATCATTTGAGCTACCAGTTGGACAATTACTCAGCTAGAGCTCTCAATCGTTACCATAAAAAGAAACACAGCACCCGCCTGGAAATTTTTTTAAAGTGTAGGCGTCATGCATCGTAAAAACCCGAATATAAAAATGGAATTCTCGTATCAAATTTCATGATGTCAACGCAATTTTTTATTTTGAGTGCATCTGATCATATGACCATACAAACATAAATTCAAAACATTGCCATAAGTCATTTCTCATAAAAAAATATTAAGCGCTTGTCACGTTCTCAGAATTACGATCACTAATCCACTTCCTACTAAGTGAACCGAACCAGAGTAACAGTTCTCTCTTTTATTCAAGGAGCCCATCGAGAGTAGATAGACCCAAAACTTTGAAAAAAAGAAGTTAACTGTTGATTTTCTCGCGACAAAAAATTGCTTGTGTTGTAGTTAAATAAAGAATATTTCTAGCTCAAATGTTCTGCAAATTATCAGAACCTTTACGATTCAAGAAACTCACATCACAACAATGTATCCGCATCATCTGAATTCCGATTTGTCGGCAAAGTGGGCGGCTCATGGCTGGAGAGTCGCGAGACCTTCAAATACTGCAATACGCTATTAGAGGGTGTGTAGGTTAGTGTGGGGTGAAGTGTGAACAAAGCGATAGTGAAACGAGCTTTCGTTATGGTTTAGTCAAGGTAAAACTGACACTCAAATTAGGTTAGAGCTGCAAAATCACAAAAAATCTATGAGCGATTCATAGCACGCAGAGAGACGTCGTTGCGTCCACTGAGACACTTCGTATATGGGAGAGACAGCAGATGACAAGACAGATGAAAGAGCGCTGAATCAGCGAGACGCCGACAATGTCCGTAATAACGCCCTGTCTCTGCGTGCGATGAATCGTCTATATATCTTGATCATTTTCAGTTAAGAAGATCAGTTTCCAGTCCTACAGCTAGCAACTTTGAAAGCAGAGATAGCGAATAGAGACTCATGCTACTCACTCTCATCTCGTCGCCTCCATTGGGTAGGCGAACAATCTCACCAGGACTGATGGACACGACCCGCCGTTGTCGCACGGACTCAACGGATTCTGCAACGACACTTTTTCGTTCCCTTTTGAAATTATGGAACGATAATAGCTGCTATCCATACTAGAAACAGCCTCGACGGTGTAGAGATAAATCTGGGTATTTTGTTCTATGTGGAAACTGATTGAATAGACCGTGTATAAGCCGCTGCTCAAGCGGCAGCGCGTGAAAGTTGTTCGCAGCCGACATTTTCATCCCTAACCTCTCGCCCAGACCGTAATATGCGTCGTGAAATACGGTCTGGCGAAAGTTTGAAGTTCAGTTTTTCGGCCACAATTGAATAATACTAGCTGCAGCTTAAGCAATAGCTAGGACTCTTAATCAAATTCCACAAGAGAAGAACAGAAACCCCTTTTGTCAGTACACCACCTCCAATAGTCTCAGCAGAGATTCTGTTAACCATTAGCTGTGCTAGGTTATATTATTAATGACTTTGAGGCAAAGCCACTCAAATTGTAAATATTAACAACTCGAAGACACGCAAATAAAAGAAGTAAAAAGTAAAAAATACCATCGGATGAGGACGGGAGTTTGCCATGATCTTTCAGCAACCGTATTAATAACTCGAAATCCGAGTTCATTTTGTTCTGCATCCGTTCAAGAGCACTGAAATATTTCTATGAAAGTCAGAAAAACATCAAACGATTATTTTACTCACTTTTCTATGGAATCCAATCGCCGTGATAACTGCACAATTTTCGTGTCATCGCTGCTTTCAGTCTCACGATCGGGCGGTGGTATCCGGTATGGCACAGCACCTGAAATGCATGATAAAGTCTTGAAAGCAGAATTATGGAAATTTGCCCAAAGGCTGCGTACAAGCAAAATGGGTCTGAGATTCCAGCACGAAACGATCAGAAGCGCAATATGCTTGCTATTATTTCGACTTTAGAGCCATCACCTTGAGAAAATTGCAGTTTCCAATCTTTTCTAATGCTCGCATTCGCGCTGAGTGCTACTTGTGGACCCGATCTTCAAAATTAGGAAAAAAGGATGGAATGATTGGCGTCTTCAATTAACTAAATGAGGCCTGGGCGTTGTATACTCTTTTGAAATTTTAGGAATTACATATACAGGGTGTCCCAAAAGTATGTATGCAGTGTTTGATCGTTAATATCTCTCTTCCCAAGAAAGTCTTTTGCCTTACTTCAGGCACCGTTTTGTAGAGCTGGCTTCAACTTAGATTTGCATTATAGAAGGAACCATCCATCTCTCTTCATTACTGTAGGATTACGGTAGAGACTTAAAATATATGGTGTCAATGTGGAAAAAGCTGCAAATTCAAAATTTTTCAAAAAAATGTGAAAACCTGTGTAATAGGGTTTTCATGAACGCTGAGTTCAATACTCAACTATTCACAAAATTATGAAGCTTTCTAAACGGTGTAACCGCACTTTTTAGGAACATTTAAAAAATGGCCGCTACTTTTACCCGGCATAACTCTCCAATGAAGCATCATATTAAGTTGGGAACTTTACCGTCGGAATCAACTACTCTAGTTAGCCTAGTGTAAAAGCTTTCAGGCTGTTTTGTTTCCTTTCTAAAGCAAAATATGGCCTTCCAAAAGCCCAAAAACCTCTTTGAAGTTTCTACCGTAATCCTACAGTAATGAAGAGAGACGGGTGATTCGTTTTATAATGCGAATATAAGCTGAAGCCAGCTCTACAAAAGGGTACCTGAAGCAAGGCAAAAGATTTCTTGGGAAGAGAGATATTAACGATCAAACAATGCATACATACTTTTGGGACACCCTGTATTTAAGCCAAAGCAAGAAATCTTCAGAGGGTTTAAGAATTGAAACTTGATTGTTTTAAAAAATTTTGATGCAGGACCCTTTCTGGGAAAATTTTTTACGCTATCGTTACATGAGAAAAAGGGGAGACTCGGCAAATGTTTGTTGAAAACATAGGATAGGCGACCTAAAGGGTTCAAAGTAAACATACAGCAAAAGCTCTACTTTAGGGTCTGTTATTTGTGCTTCCAACAAAAGGATAAGATATTGAGCAAGCGGAAAAGTTCGAGGGCGCGCAGTTCTTCGAAGAGCTATAGCGACGATATCGTAAGCTTTAAAAATAATTCAAATTATGGTACAAGAGTGTGTATACCATCCTTATCGCTCTGTTATACCGCCACCCCCCACTAGGGAAAGATACCAAATCGCAGTGACGTTGAATTGAAGTATACTGTTTAGTAGATTTTCGGATGCTCATCTCATATCTAACCTCGGTATCTCACACTGCTCTCTAAAGGCAGCGTCCAGGCAGATCTGGCCCTATGGGGCTTTCACGTGGAAACTACTTTTGGGGCCCTCACTAAGGCACTGCCCAAGCGGCAGCTCATGTAGTGCTCTAATGGCTGAGATATTCCCCTCGAAACTGGCCCCCGCGAACGTATTCGCATGGATTCATGGCAGTTTCGCGCCAGGATCCACGCTTTGCGCCATGAATCCATGCGAAACACGGTCGCGGGGTCCAGTTTCGAGGGAAATATCTCAGCCGTTGGGGCACTACCTGGGCTGCCGGTTGGGCAGCGGCTTAGTTAGGGCTCCAAAAGTACTTTCCACATAAAATCCCCATAGGTCCAGACTTGCCTGAACGCTGCCTTTAATGAATTGAAGTCTGGGGAGTAGGATGCACACATTGCAAACATTGGGGAGCATGCGCATGCAGATTCAGAAACATTCAACTCCTAAGAGTAACTAGCAAGCACTTCTTTTCATACAATGATATCAAATTCACTTATCCCATAGGGCATTAGAACCACTTTTGAGAAATGTAAGTATCGAATTCCTAGTTGGCTAATAACACACCGTTTCCATTAGAGTCGTGATGCACAGTTGGTGAGACGGTTACGGTGTTACCACGAGAAAATGCACGAATATCTTCGAACACTCCGTCATCTTCTTCGTGTTGAGCACGTCGTAACAACGGTGTCGCTTCAGCTCGTACATGTGGTGGAGAATAGCGTGATGAGCCTATGGTGAAAGATGGACGAGTTATCCAGGGATACAGTCATCTAGTGATTTAAGATTTGTGTTATAAGTTAATTTGCATCTATTGTATCTACTGTTATTGCGGATAGGCAAAAAATTGCTGGATCTGGCTTTTTGCTAAAATACGGACATTTGATTCCGAGAAATATGTTGCAGAACAAATGTGTACAAAAAACAGTCATTTTGATTTGCATCAAAGCAAACACACTCTCAAGCCATGCAAACACTTTATAAGAGATTTGACGGTGAATATAGTGCCGCTGCGGTGCCGACAACATTTGCGCGTGAACATACTTGCGCCCTTTGATGCCCTCGACTTGCACGTATAAAGTGTTCATAGAGCGCATATTTTGAGTATAGCGCCATACCTTTCACTTACGCGCCAGAGTTGTTTGCAGGAGCACATTTTAACCGTTCAAATTTCCTAGCCACATTATTCCGAAGCCTACATACCCGTGCTTCATTAAGCCACACTCACCACGGGACCCACCAGATTGTCGACGATCAACCGGGTTCGAGTCCGTTCGGGACACTGAATCAGTAGCACTCCGCCGCTGTCGTTGTTCAGAGGTGTCTAGAAAAAATAAAATATCAAATGCAGCAGGTAAAGAGCAGGGTGAAATCCTGGAAAAAATGAGAAAACACAAAACAATAAAAATAAAACACAACATCACGAACCATCGAACGGCGTACCGTATCGGTCTTTATTTAGTGAAGATGACATTCTCAACAATTTGTGACGATCGAATCGCTTTCGTGTAGACTGGGATTCATCGCGCAAATTGTAAGTGATGATGAGGTTTTTGCAAAAATTTTCCGCAAATTCCGGATACATATCCAGTACATCGAGCAGATCATCCCTAAGGACATAGTTCTTTGAAAAACATCAAAATTTCTCCAGCTTCGTACCTGAGAATTTTATGCAGATCACAATATGTCAATGCACGGACATTGCATGATGACTTGCCGACTTCTTCATACAACAACGGATTTTCACCAAATATGTCATCTTTCCCTGGAAATAGCGGATTAAGCAACACCATTACAAAGTTAACTTCAAGAAGTAACTTACCAAGTATGCCCATAACAGTGTTGTCATCGTTCAGGATCTCAACGCTACCTCGCGCTATGAAATGCAGACCGGTTAGGATGTCACCACGATGGACTAGCGTATCACCAGGTGGCGCATGAGTGGTGCGAAACCTATGAAAATGGCAAGTAATCGGAAATTTCGAGGGAAAAAGCTTGAGTACTTTTTAGGTACGCGCCACCTAATCCACTTGACCCACTTCATCTGCTTCGCTATTGGTCAGTTCGTGATTTGACCAGCGGCGAAGTGGATGAAGTAGATCAAGCGAATCCAGTGGATCGAGTATGGCGCGTGCCTTATGCGAAGCTTTTCTTATTTTTTAGCTAAGGCAAACTCTAACTTCCTGTAGTCTCTAATACAAATTCACGAAGAATGAAATGGCGAGCCGGATAAGAATCTCTAAACTATTTTCTGCAGTTCAGCAAAAACAACAAGTTCAATTATAGGAGCTCATTAAAAATAGCATTATAAAAATCAACTTCCAAAAAGTTGGTTGATGAGTTAGAACAGATATCGAAGCGTTTCACACATGGCGTATGTGTTTTGAGTAAATGCGCGTAAAATATCTATAAAGTCTGACGAGCTTTATAAAAATAAAATGTAAAAGGGATAAAACCGTTGTTTACTTATTTGCTTGCAAAATTTAGAAGAAATAATAAAGAAGAGAGATGCATGCAGAAAAAAGAACTTGGAGTAAAAAAGGAAATAAAAGATACGTACCGCATACTCAACGCCCTCAGGCAACCGGGTGTCGATCCGGCAAATGCAGGACAACTACTCAACAGATTTCTATTCAGATGTAAGCATATATCCGCTTGTAGGCAATCGGGGAAACCTTTCAACACCTAAAATCAGTGGCTTGAAATGTGCAAAAATCATTCGTACTACATAGAAAAACTGGTTAAAAAGCATTTCTGCGCATAAAGAATTTTTTTGATTCGTACCAAGTTCATATCGATTCCATTCGTATATGACCATGCATGTTGAAAGTATTCCTCGAGCCGTTGCCGTAACGGATTAGGAATCTGATGAAATCGGATAAATTCACGTAGTCGTGACATTTCCGTATGATATCTGCAAAAAAAAAACACTCATGAATTTATATGAAAGAGTCAAAAACACCAGCAAATAATCAAAATCTCACCGTGCTGTCCCGCTATACAACCGTTGTATAATGGCTGATACGTTACCAAACACAGAGGCATACATTAAAGCTGAAAATGGCAGTGTATTATGCTTGTACGCAATGCGGCGAGGACCAATTTGTACTCTCGATCATAGCAATCAAGACTCTCGTACGTAGGTACTCTTGTTTTTGACACACTGATGACCAAGGCGTTGCACGGATCGGTCTACATTTTTTTGATAAAATCACGCGCAATTTTATCTACAGTATAAGCTCCTGCAAGACGAAGGCGGTCGGTTCGATGTGCAACGCGGCTGCGACATGGCTGCGTCACAGCAGCGTCACAGCCGCGTCACAGCCACGTCGTACCTCGAACCAACCGCCTTCGTCTTGCAGGAGCTTATACACCTACAGTAACTCTGAAATGCTGGCAAAAACAGTAAAGGTTGTATCTAGATCCAGCACAAAAGAAAACTCCCGGAGTGGGTTTAATACAAAATAGTAGCCATTTCAACGATACACATGGTGTGCCAAGCCTTGATATACCATGTGTGTCAAGCGGTCGTCAATGTGTTAAAATGAAAGATAAATAAACCTCAGAGAAGAAGGTGGAATACTTCAAGAACTCCAGGTTAAGAAATTGTGATTTTTCAAAACCCGCTAAGGACCAGTTTTCGCTTCTTCAACCATAAAAAGCAAAGGGTACTCTCTGTTTTAAGGGAAAAAATAATCCAAAAAAACTTCAAAAAACCTGAATTACTTACATCCTAAAATCATCATTATAATAGTGAATATTTTCTCGGAATCCGTCGTCGCAGAGACGTTACCGAAACCTGAAACAATTTGATATTACAACATTAAAAAAAAAGTAGGATTGTCCCACAACATGCAATTGTTCTTTGAAAGCGAAATGTTACAGTTCAAGTGAAGAATAATATCTAAGAAACAAACCTATAGAAGTGATGGTTGAAAGTGTGAAGTATAGTGACGTTACGTAACGACTCTTTAACGACGGTCCACCCGTGGGTACTGTACCGTTGGTTGACAAGTATGGCTCGTTCAGATGCCGAGCTATAAAAAAAAATTCTTCAGCAGCACAAAGATGACTTAAAACTATAATGATACACTTGGTTTTTGATTATAAATGTGAAAGTAAGTATTCTATTAGGTTGATTCATAATTAATGCACGTTTTTCTCACCTCTTCTTCCAAGAGCTGGTATTTGAGGTGTAATCAATCCCCCCAAAAACTTTTTGCGCTATTTGAAAAAGCACTTTATTTAGTTTCTTGAGTGGGCCTTCGCTTTCGTACATCTCCGTTCATTCTAAAGTTCTGAGCCTTCACATAAAAGAGACTATGTACATAGATCCCAAAATTCTTGCTTTTCACTCTATTTGCCCTAAATCCATGAGGAATAGCCGGATTAATTTTAAAAAATATGCATAAGGATTAGGGAACTTTGTGCTATAAGATGGTGTTTGAACAAAATTTTCCAAGAACTCTGAGCTGAGAAACTCGATCGCGAACTTAAGTGACAGTCGCTGCCATTCCATGCTGTACATATAAAACTCTTAGGCAAAAGGCAATTGCAGAACTTTTGCACTATATAGCAAGAGTAGACCTAGTTCATTTGATGGTAGAAAAGCGCTAGGGTTTTTTTACTTTTCAGCGGAGATAAATAAAATAATTTCAAATATGACCAATTTTCGAACCCGCCGAGATGCCAGAAAAAAGTGAGTACTTTCGACTTTTTCGCGATATTTTCCTTCAAAAATTTTCCGTAAAATCCAAGCTTTGCATTACTGCTCAGGAGACCCTTGGCTACACGACGAGCAAAGTCTGCGTTATCCTACTTCATTTCAACATAAATTATGCTCTCTCAAAGTAAAGGCGTCTGAAAAAAGTTGTTGGCAATCTTCAGGTCAGAAAATCTTGCTTTTGATAGATACAGTCACGCAAAAGTATTTGTTTTATAGCCACTGATTTGATAGTTACAGAAGTTTATATTGCGCCCAGAAATGTCTTTGCAAAAAATAAATATCTTGGTTGAAAATTGAAGTATAGAAAACGTGCATTAATTATGAATCAACCTAATATATCGCCCGCAATACTGAAGGCTACGGCACATCTTTAATTTTGGATTACCGCAATCTTTTCAAGCGCACCAATCAGCGCCCTCCGCTGGTTGGTTTGAGGAAATAAACGGTCTAGACGCGAGATCAGAGGTGAATTCTTAGGCCAGAAAAAATTGAATGAGCAGCCTTGCAACTTATTGTTAGTAAAAGCTTAGCAAACAGTGCCCACGTGAAAACCCCACGCGCCCATCGCCTACATACTGCTGAAGTTATGCGGCAGGTGTGTAAGAATAATCTTTTCCTGAGTATTTTCACTGGTTTCCGAAATTCTATGGATCCCTCGAAGGTCTTAAATCAATTTCAGCAGCATGATGCTCGAAAAGAATTACGTATGCGCTTCTTGATGCTAAAATAATGCAAATTGGCGTTACGATGGTAATTCATTAGCATACTGGAAGTAGCTCGGACGAAACCCGAAACTATCTACGCCTTCTACGACGATGCTTCTTTGGTCGCTGAACTTATTCAATGGGATTGGAAATAAAGGACAACTGGAGAAATATTCCTTGGGCAATATTCCTAACAGCCCTAACAAAGAACAATTTCCTTCGTAACCATTAAAAAGGAAGAGAAAACCGAGGAAACTTGAAAAAAAGGGACTTCAATGATTTTATAGCAAAACTCACATAACTGATGTAACCACGTAATTTCACGCTTATGTGGCAGTTCGGCGCTTCCTATCGCGTACCAAATGCACGCTAACCAATGAGCAATTAGGGCGAACGTCGCCATCAATAGTAATAACACGGCAGCACCGTATTCGGAATACCTAGAAGAAAATTTCGGGAATCGATAAATATCGAAATGAAGGTAAAAAAAACAAAAAAAGCTTGAAAAGACTGGAAAACGAAAAAACCGATGAGTCCAACTCACCTATCTAATTTTCTTGCTACCCGCACTAACCGTAATAATCGAGCAGTTTTTAGTAGACCAATAAGCGTGGTAGTCTTTAAAAAGATCAATTTATTGATTGATTTATGCAAGTGCAGATTTGCTCACTTCATCGCTGTTTGTATTCACTAATAACAAATCGAATGGCACGGCGGCTATCATATCTATGACGAACCATCCTTTGAAATAGTGGATGGCAATTTTACCCGGGTGTGACACTACCTGTATTGATAGAGTGAAAAATTTCCAATGAAAGATGTAGAAAAAAATTGACATCACCTTCCTCACCTCATCATTCTCATTGACGTAAGTAGTACGAAAATTTATAATAATGTCCACTATAAACATAATATCCACTATCAAATCGACGATTTCCAAAGGCTCCGAAAATCGAGCCTTACGTGAGGTATCTTGTAACTAAAATCGACACATAACCTCCAAATTGTTAGCATTGCCACAAGAGTAAATATTCTGGATGGCATAAAAGGACGAAAAAAGAGAAAGAACAAACTTCTCTGAGAAGAAAGGCCGCAACGTACGGTGTGAATACTGCCGTATATATAACGAGCAGCAATATAATCCAGTCCCAGACCGCTTTGAATGGACTGAAAATAAACAAAACTAGATATTGAAATTAATATCAAAAAAATCTAGATATATCGAAAAAAAGACTGTACAAAAATCGAAGAAAATTTCCCCTATTGTTGTAAATTCCCATACATAATTATAATGACAAAGAAAAGCTATGAAACGAGCTTCAAAAGAAAAATCTAAAATCAATAAACTTTATTCACCTGTAATGCACGATGGTGCAATGGTGGATGCGCGTCGGCTGCAGCTTGTACTCCGGCAGCACATCGGCGCCCAGCGAGAGCACCTTAAAAAATCGATAAATAATCGATTGCCGTGTATTAATCGATAATCACTGGAAGCCATAGTTTGAAAGCATTTCAGAGCCTACCTGATATGTGTTTACAGTTGGAATGGTTAGCTTATAAAATATGAAGTAAATCTTCGTAAAATTGCAAATCTACCGTAAGCTACACTAACGACCAATCACAGTCTAGCTTTGTTCACCGGTCGATAACACCACAATCACAACGCCCGCACGAATTTTTACCTTATAGGACCCATTTTGCAATACAATCATAAGCTGTTTGGGTATAGCGGTCGACATTTGATTTGCTGAACAGCAACAGTCGCATGCTCGTCACTCCGCGGTTACAGTTCGGACTGCGTTGCGATGCGGTGCGATGCGATTTCTCAGTCAGCCAATCACAGAGCGCACATAATCAAGACATGCTCTCTGTGGTAGATCTGATGCTTTCTTTGAGCGAGAGATTTCGTGTGGAGATTCCTGTTTGAACGCACACCGATTACGGACGAGTTGTAACACCACGAATGGTCAGGATACGAACATCTGTCGCTTTTACTGATGCTACAAGTAGGTAACAAAAGTTGTAGTCCACTTTCAAATTTATTCATAGAAAATGAGATATTACTCCGTAGGTCCTGAGATCGAAGACCCAAGATCCAAAATGATAACATTTTTGTAAAAAATAAAGAAAGCAGAGAAAAAGAGTTCTTAATATATTCGTGTGCTTCAAGGGTGAAGAGTTATTCTGTTAGTACTTCTTAATTTTCGAAACTTATGCATCCAATCAAGAAAATCATTAATTGCTAACATGATTTGAAAGGTTTAGCTAAGAAAAATTTGTTCTCTGTGGAATTCTCTGGCCCATTTCCACCATTTTGCTGCATGACAAGCTTAATGCCTGTGAATGCCTATTCAGATAAATCATGTGCAAGTCCCATAAAATAGCAATTGAGTTCAAGAGAAAAATGTATTGACGAAACTTTGCAGTAAAAGAAGTGGAAACATCAACTGAAAGCAGAAGCAGAAGCACACTGCTTAAATACAATGTAAACTCAGAAAATCTGAAGATTGAATTTGTGTGATGCTTGATTTGAGTCAGCTAGAGAAAATGACCAGAATGATTAGAGCAAATTCTGAGAAAAAATGAAGTTACGAAGGAAAACGCATTTTTTGAATATACTCGAAAAATGGTAAATGTGGAAGACGTGGAGGATTGATAACGATTTTGCCGCCAGAAGCAAAAATCCGAAGATTTTCGGGAATGTGATTACGAAAGACAGTTGACAATGATTCTTACCTACAATCCATTTTAGCTATAGCCACTTGATTCTACCTATTTTTATAGATATAAAGGGGATATATTGTTGGCTGTCACGAAAGTGAAGGCGTTATTCGGGCCACAACGGCAGTATGAACTCTATCATGGGCACGTGAGGAAGCATTGATAGAACAAAGCATGCCTTATGAAGTGAGACTCAAATATTCGCATGCTAGATTTTCACAATGACAAGCAGAATTCTAATTCGATCATGCCAAAAACAGTCTCTGTCCTTCGTAGCTTCAAATATTATAGTGCCTGCCATCTGCTGGTGCACATAGTAGACATAACAAACATATTCAAATAGTTGATGTAATTTTTTCGGCGTTGAAAAGCAGGAAGAAAACCAAAATAGTAAAATCTGGCACTGATGCAAATTCTTGGATTCTCCAAAAGTTTATATCCACGATATTCTCGCAAAGTATCAATCTCAGAAAAAAAATCCAAACACAACAACCTAGTAATTGCCTATTCTCAGTTAAGATAGCCCTCATTACGAAATAAAAAGCGTTTATAGCAAGTTCGAAATACGACAGTACACTATGAGCTTGTGCTCAATTTCCAAGAGGCAAAAAATACATCCGTATCGAACGAGGTCGAAGTTCTCGTAGAACGGAACTATTCGGAGGTCCTAAATCAGGGTGGAGTCAGAGGACGAGTAGAGCAGGACATTGTGCTCTTGCACATCAAACAAACAAGCAATTCGACAGAGAGGCTATTCTTTGGAAAGCAGTGATTGGATGGCCCGCGGCTGCGTCGGCACACGAACAGCACCCGGCTACGAGCCCCTCGCTTCTGGCAATGAAAATACCATGAATTAGCCAAGCTATTATCCACCAACGACGCTGTGTCTATGCTGCACAACACCATCATCAACATGAGCTTTTATCTATCGAAAAAAAAAAACGAGGAAACGAGGGCCATTTTGCCGTGGAAGCTCGGCTGTAAGTAGGCGAAGCAAACTAAAAAATCGTCATAAGCTTAGTCAGAAATTTGCAGAAATGATCGAAGCAGTATGTGCTCGTGTTCGGAAATTCTTCACATAATGGCGATAAGACCTCGCATTCCATCTATCATTCACGTCTTGCGCGCTATCTGCTAATATCTCATTCGGAAAAGTACACAATGATGTCATCATTCTGCAACCTTTGGTGCTTTCGCTGATATGAAGATTATTTGCACTGTAAAGACATAAACGCACACATTTTACGAATAAAAAGAATAAATTTCAACCTAAAAGTCCTAAGTTGCATCTGATATCCTCTATAAATGTTTAATAAGTCCAAAATCACAGTTCACTTCACTACAGTACCACCACCAGTATTGAAGAGCATGCCAGTACAGTTGAGTTCAAATTGCTTCGAAAAATCCATACTTTGGTCGATTTATGGGTAAGAAATAATGTGCAACGCGTATTATAGAAGAGACAAGCGACCATGAAAAGCGTAAGTTTTTTGTAATGAGAACTGGTGTTCTTTCTCGTCTATTCTATGATATATTTGACACAATTCTCTAACGATCCAGGAACGTGAAAAAATGAAGAAAAAACAAATTCTTTGGACATCGAATCCCATTGTAAGAGATTTCATGCATAATACCAATGACCTACTACCTACTCTAATCTAATAATCCAGGAAAATAGAAAAACGGGTGCGTTCTCGATAAAAACATTTATTATTGCTTACTAAAAAGCTCTGGAACAAAAATCAAATAGAGACGAAGATTCCATACTTCAAAAAACTGAAGAAAATTTTCTAGAGACAAAAAATGCACATTGCTTCGGCAAATATCATTGCAAATAGGAGGAGCTTCTCGAAAGCAAGAAGAAACTAAGCAAGAATTTCTAAATCCAAAAATTATCTGCTGGTTTCATTTTTTTGGTTTGGCTTCTACAAGTGAGCTGCAAAGCCAATATGAAGATCTAAGGCTCATAAACAGGAAGTGATAAGCGTATTCATGAGTTTTTGATTTTTCATTATGCCTCGAAAAAAAGACTAGATCTTACCAAGTCATTGCCAATGTTTTTGAGTAAGCTAAGAAACTTTCCAAGAGCACCTGGATGCGAAATGCATCATATCGCATGAGAAAGCACTAGAAATCCATAGAAGCTTGCTTGGCTGGAGCATTTTCGTGACAACCACGTATCTACCAATTTTCTAGAGAGAGTTGCGATGGCTAGAATAGATTTGCAGAGCGGGAGCCATAAGGAATCGAAAGCAACGATGGTGAACGCATATAAATTTGCGTTCTCGAAAAACTGGCGGTAGTCTAATGCAAAAGGGGCTCGAGTGATGAAAAAACGTCGAAAGCGTCAGGACGTGACATCACGACCACTGATGTATCTTTGCCGGTGGTTTTTGCGCGTTAACTTCTACCCATTCAGCTTGCAGAGCTAGGAGAAAAAGAAGAAAAACTCTGGGATGAAATCAAAGTACAGCGAGAGCGAGGAGATAAAGGAAAGAAGAAGAATTTTCGGGGTGACGAAAATTGATGGTAGTGAAATCAGCACACGCAGAGACGTTGAAGAAGAGCGCGGCAGGAATTCAGCGCCGATTTATGCGAATTACACAGTCCATAATCTGAAGGCTCTAGCGAAAACAAAACCAAAACAGCAAGAATTGTTGATTCGGGACGGGCCTACACCAGAAATGTGTGGCGATGTCGAACAACTCTCTAAACTTCAGTACATCGTTTGACATTCGTTGTAAGCCACCAAAAATCCTTTGCGTGACTGAAGTGCTTCTTTTGAGCACCTTTAAATTTCGAGGGAACACAGCTTAAAATGAGGTCTGCCCAGTGTCAGTAAATACAATCCTAGCGGAATTCTGGCTGACACTTCGAAAGGAGCAGATCATCAATTTGGGAAACTCCCCATAGATGATGAATGCGTGATGAATGGGGCGGACACTGAAGCACACAAAAGTGGCGGTGCACGTTGAAGAGATGTCAGGAGCGTGTCATTTTCCATCTGGTTTCATTTCATCATCGATTGTTCTCATGAAAGCACTCTTTGTATGCAACAAAAATCGTAAACTGACATGAAGTATGGGGTAATCTGTTGCCTCTCTACGCAAAAAATTTCCTCGAACGAGAAGTTTTGGATAATTTTAAAAATAATTTTGCAAGCATTAGACGAGAGATTGTGTAGCTGCTTGAAAATACAAAACTGGACGATTTCTCATACTACGGCAAAGGGATTAGGTAGATGTGTAGATTTCAAATGTTCGTCTCATTTGAGACGATACCAATCACCCCCTCATCTCAAAAGGGCGCTGTTTTACTGTTTTAAAGAGCGCAAATCACTCGATTAAGAAAAATGTTCAGAAATACAAAATTTGGAATTTCTTATATTATAGCAAAGCGATAAGGCGAAAGATGTAGAATTTCCATCATTCCCCATCTCGACTGCGCGCTGTTTTATTGTTATAAAAGAGCGCAAATCACCCGATCGGAAACCTATTTGGAAAAGGAAAAGCGGCCGATTTTATGGGATGACAAATATCGCCACTGACGTCCATCAGCATTGTAGCTTCCATAATTAGGCATTATTTACTCATTGAGAAGCTCCTCACTCCTATAATTTTTTTTCCAAAAAATCGTCTTCAAGTTACCCAAACGCCCTCTCCCCCTCTCCAGATTCCAAAATAAAGTAAATGTGCACCTTGTTAAAAGCGTCGAGATC